TATCTGGTGATAGTGATCTGATCGTTCTGATGATTTTATGTTTCTGTGTCGTTAAATTTGGAGACGTTTCTTTGGGGATGAAGATATTATACGGATGTCGGATGAATGTTGGATGTTTGTCGGATTAACGGCTCGTTGAACTGAGAGGAGCCCCAGGGCTGTTGGTTCTAATCTCCCAGAGAAGACTGTGGAGATCCAGTCCCAGATTAAGGCCTTTGTTTCAACGTTTCTTTTTCTACAGAAACAGAAACAACAGGAACTGAAGCACCGTTGGTTCCTGTCCCTGAACCAAACAGTTCTCTTCACCGTTGGTTCCAGTCCCTGAACCAAACAGTTCTCTTCACCGTTGGTTCCAGTCCCTGAACCAAACAGTTCTCTTCACCGTTGGTTCCACACCGTTGGTTCCAGTCCCCAGTCCCTGAACCAAACAGTTCTCTTCACCGTTGGTTCCAGTCCCTGAACCAAACAGTTCTCTTCACCGTTGTGGTCACCTCTCAGCTCCTTCAGTCACTTCCTGTCTCTCTGCCTCATTTCACCTTTGATGTACTGCTAGTGTACTCCCAGTCTGGTCCCAGTCTGGTCCCAGTCTGGTCCCAGTCCAGAACCTGTTCCAGGTTTCCACACTGACACACAGTGGAACACTTTATGAACTCCTCCACGTCCTCACTGTTTCAGCTGCTCCTTCCTCTCTCTCTCTCTCTCCCCCCCCCTCTCTCTCCCTCCCTCTCTCTCTCCCTCCCTCTCTCTCTCTCACACACACAGGGGAGATGGTGTCAGTCAAGATGGATGTTGAAGACGGATTAAATCCCATATGGCAATTTGTCCTCTGTGTGTGTGTGTGTGTGTGTGTGTGTGTGTGTCAGCAGCTTCTCCCGTTGGATGTGCCATAGATTTTGCCACTGTTCAGCTCCACTACACCCCGTCTACTCTTCACACACACACACACACACACACACACACACACACACACAGTCATTCATTGACTGTAGTGTTTTACAGATAAAAGTGATTTTTATTTAAGAATTCACTGAGTTGTTGTTAAGATGATCAGACCTGAAGGGAGTACTTCACAGTACTTCAGATATCAATAGTTGCTGCTGATGATGACTGTGTACCCTGTGTACTCACAGTACTCACAGTACTCACAGTACTCACAGAGTGCAGTTTGATTGGACGGTGAGGTTTGTTTTTCTGTCCTTGTTTTTTTCATGACTGCGACTCGTCGTGTTTGTCTTAGACTTTTCTTTCAGCGCTCCTGTTTGTTTGTTTGTTCGTGTGTGCGTGAGGGTGTGGTCCAAATCATCCCGTGTGTAACGACGGTGGCCAGGCTAAGTGACGTCTTCCGCTGCCGTGAAGGGGGCGGAGCGGGGGGGGGGGGGGGGGGGGGGGTTACGACCCCATCCTCCACAGAGTCATGGCGCCTCAGTGTGGACAACACACTGAACAACACTACTAACTAAATTGAACTGGACGGTGACTGGTTAAGACACGTCCACAGGGAACGGTCAGAGGAACTGATGTTTCTGGTTTAAATGGAACGCATCAGAAACTCTATCACACGACCTCTGACCTCTGACCTCTGACGGCTTGACCAACCACCGATCTGTGAATGTGTGTGTGTGACATGACTGTGGGCAGAGCAGCAGGTAGTAAAGGTGACCGCACCGTGTGTGCGTGAGGGTGTGGTCCACATCATCCCGTGTGTAACGACGGTGTGTAACCGTAGTCGTTACACATGGAGTGTATTCTGATCGTAGCAGCAGCTCCTCCTCCGCTTTGAATACCCATAAATCAATGCTGCGCTTCGGTCTGCGGCTCACGGACCGATGCAGCGCCAGTCACAGTGAACGCGGCGCGGTGGCTCAGTGGCTCAGGGAGCGTACTCTGTCGTGTGCAGTGTTGTTGCAGCCATGAGGAATCGTTATCTTTTCTGCTGCCGTCTCTGCTAATCCACCGGATTATCACAGCAAAGTATAAACAAGGATTAAAAAAAAATCATTTGCAGATCTAACAGCAGCTCGATGAGCTGCTAAATATTATTATTTTTAAAAAAAGCAGTTTTTTTGTTTCCATCAGTGGTGGTCGTCATCTTCAACCATTTCTTCTCTGCACTTTGACCTCGTGCAAAGATAAACCTCAGAGAAACTAAGATTAAGATTAAGACCCAGATTAATTAGCATTATGGATTTGACGCTTTTGATGCCGTTTAATTAGTGCGTAACGTGTGAATGGATAGGATCCAGGATTAGACTGTTTGTTTGTCGAACGGCAGAGAGTTTTTTTCTCCCTGAGCTTTTAAACGGTGTCTGAGGTTCAGAGACTCCGCGGCGTTCAGACGGCGTTCAGACGGCGTTCAGATGGCGTTCAGACGGCGTTCAGACGGTGTTCAGACGGCGTTCAGACGGTGTTCAGACGGTGTTCAGACGGCGTTCAGACGGCGTTCAGACGCACCACACACTCAGATCAGACGAACAGAGAATATGATTCAACTTCATATCATCGTTATGATTCCAAAGCTCTTTAAAGGCTGGTAAATCACTCAAAGCTAATGGCTAATTGCTAGGCTCCGATATTAAATCTTTTTGCTGAGACACCGTTATTGTCCAAATACTTGACTGATATCAACCAATAATGACAATAATTTACTTTCACTTCAGTAGTGAAAAGCACTGTGCTGTCGCGTTTTTTTTATTATCGGAAGAAAAAAAAACGATAGCGATTCTCACTGATGTTACAGGATTATGTTAATATCGGGCAATAATATCGCTTGGACGATGCTAACAGGCTAAGAGACCAGCCTGCAGTCCAGATCGATCTTCTACCAACAATGTCAACATGACATCGTTCCTCAGCGGTCACCATGAAAGTCTCCTCTTCGTCTTCGTCTTCTCTTCGTCTCCGTCTTCCCTTGTCCAACATGTGAACCCTCTCTCTCCTGGACACATGTCCAAAGAGTTGGAGACTGGACCCAGACTCAGAGGTGGATTTTTCTCTCTGACTCTTTGGTGATGAATAACATTTATTTTCATCAAAAAACGAGGTTGAACAAATTAAATTAGAGATTAAATGTCTCTGGAATTAAAGATTACAGTGCATTACCAAATGATAGCTTTTAGATTGAATTGCTTTTTTTTTGGAGATTGTGCCAACTGGTGAATTAGGAGCAGAGTTTTTGGCGTTTTTTTTTCAGAGCTCTTTTAGAAATTATTCTCGACTTCCAGGACTTTCCAGGTTCATGTGATGTCGCTGCTCCTGCAGCTGATTTTAGAATCAAAGAAAAACAGAAAACGACACACACACCCACACACACACTGCCTGCTCGGCCCCAGATGACAGTTAGAGTTTGAGACAATCCAGTGGAGAAGGTACAGCGCGACGGTGAGGAGCGGAGGAGAGCGTGACCAAAAACAGAACGTATGTTTGGATGCATTCATCACGAGCAGTGAAACGGCGGCGCAAACGTGTTCCACGTGACAGATGTAGACGAGGGCTGGGACGATCCGATACTCAGGGTCGGTATCGGTTTGATATTGGTCAAAATCTCGGGATCGAACATGGAAAAAAATAGCGTTGATCCGATACTTTCAAATTCTCAACTTAACCTTGTGCTTCATTATCGTATATAGTTTATGAATCAGTGGTAATCCAAAGTGCTTTATAATATAATAAAAAAATATTTTTGGTAGTAATTAAAAATATTCAGGGGACAAAATGAAATACATCATTACGTCACCGACGTCACCACGAACTACAACTGTTCGACTGTTGGTTAATCCACTCTGTCTGTGTTGTTAATTAACAACATGTCTCTTTAACCTTAACCTCGTCATTTTGATGCCACTGAAAACAAACAGAATAAATTATCTTTGTTTATTTCTACGGCTGAACGAACGCAGTAACGACTTAACGGCGAGCGAGCGCTAGCGGACTGAATAAAGAGCGTCTCCCCGAGCCCTCCCCCGGCACG